GGTAGTATCATTCTCTTTTATTGAAAGTTCAAGTTGTGTTCCACTATATTATTATTCTTGGCTGCCACTTTTGACCAGGAGGGGCTAAAATTCGCAGCTACCATTTAAAAAAAAAAAAAAAAATTCTTTGTTGGGTTAGGAAGCCTTGAGGCATGAGAGTCAAGGGGTTGAGAACCTAACGCTGGTACATAAACAACTAAAGAATAGAAAAAAATCACCTTAGAAAGTGCTTCCAGCTTGTTACAATTATAAGCCAAAGTTTTCTTTTACTTAACACCCTAGCTATTCATGCATGTTTGTTTCTTGACATTGGATTCTCTTGAATTCCAACTGAGCGTAATCACAATTGGACAATACTCTAATATCTCTTGAAGGGTAATTAATTACCTTCTCTTTTCTTCGTAATGGGAAGTTGATGGATTCTTATGTCTGAAATGATGATCTCTATCAACCCTTTATTTTGGCTAAATGATTTGCATCAAATCTAGCTTTTAGAGAAAACTGTAATTTAAAACAAAAACTTAATTGAGGAAACAGAGTTTGGACCCCGCTCGTTAGACACCAGATTGATCATGCAATTAGATCTTTTATATGGTCCACAAGAAAGTTGGGTTCCAACTTTACACATTTGAACAATGCATGGAACCATTTTGTGTGTATGTGACTATCTTTACTTTCTTCATTTAATCACAAAGGAACTCTTTTTTACTTTCTTCTTTCTTGATCATAAGTAAGTGTCCTTTCAATGTTCTGAAAAGATCCCAACAACCTTAGCTGACATCAACCATGTAATTAAAAGAGATGAAAAAAAGAAAGGATAATGGCTAATGGGGTCATGATGGCCGTGATAACCAAGAAAATCGTTCCACTTTGATTTGGACATGATTGGTGTTTTTCAAAATCCCCCCCACAATTTCAACAGCCTCGAGAGGGGAAAATGGGTTCCCTCGCAATCTTCAAAAAAAAAAAAAAAAACATGTATTTTAAAATCAAGTTTACATTATGTGTAGTCTTCATTGAGGCCAAAACAAGATAAAACAAATCGGCTAAAAAAGCAATGAGGGCTTGGTCTTTGTTTCTTCTTCTAGAGATGTACGTTTTGAGAAAGTTGATTATCAAGTCAAAATGTTGTAAAGAAATGAACAACTTTTTCTCTCACTCAAGTTTGAAATTTGAGTCTCGAATCCTAAAATTTTTCTACCTTCTACCTATCAACGGCGGCATTATAACGAAATGTTGTCGTTAATTCCTCACTTTGAAAAGTAAGTAGGTGCTTTGCAATTTGCATTGATACCTCCCCTAATGACGGTGCTTTGATTTTCAAAATATAGGAGACAAAATCACCTTCAAAAGTTGGAGACACCTAACTTTTGCTTGAAATATTTGGTAACTTAAAGCTTTGTAATTAAATTAACTTTCTTCTCTCATTTGCTCTTTCCAATCCTACAAAAGAAAAGAAAAAGGAGTTTGAAAATTTTCTTTCTTTGATATAAAATTAGCTTTCCAAATGCAAGTGGCGAACCACATTAGAATTGGATTGTCGGTTATATCATTAATTATCAACACCTTTTTATTTGTGGTTTTTAATTAAGCCTCTTTAGTATCATTAGTTAGTGTTTTTGATTCGTAATTATGAAATTAAAATTAAAAATTAAAATCAATAACTTATTTGCACGTAAATGTTCTCAAAAATCATAATCAAATTTAAAAACATTTCATATTGCTAAAGTTTCCATAAGTTAAATTAGTGTTAATTTGCA